TTGGTTGTTACCAGCCATTTGAAGTCCAGTGGTTACTGGCATCGTTTAAATCCAATTGTTATTGGTATCTTTGATTTGGTTGTTACCAATCTTTGTAAGTCCGGTGGTCACTAGCACTGTGCTTAAATCCAATTGTTATTGGTACCTTGGCTCGGTTGTTACCGATTTTCCTATTGAAGTTTAGTGGTTACTGACATCATTTAAGTCCAATTGTCATCGGTACTCTGTTTTGGTTGTCACCATATTCTCTTAAAGTCTAGTCGTTACTAGCGCCCCCAGGAAACCCAGTAGTTACTGGCATTTCATAAAACCGATTGTTATTAGTGGAAAATTCTAGTTGTCATCGGTATCCCTAGTGAAGCCCTTGGTATCCCCAGTTGGATCTTGGAGATCTAGTGGTTACTAGTGTCTCGGTGAGTCATCTGGTTTTGTTTCTAGTCTTTTTCTGAAGATCTCGTTTGAACTCTTCGTTATAGGAAGTTCCTTATTTGGTTTGTCCCCAGTAAAGATCATGTCTCTGGTCCTTTGCTTTTCCGGTGGAGATTTGCTTTTCCCCAGTGAAGATTTGTCTTCCTCGGTGGAGTCTGTGTCCCTGTGAGGATGATCCCCTTGAAATACCATCATTTGTCATGTATGAACTATTGCTTGTTATGCCTTGGATCTTTCCCCAGTGAAGTCGCCATTTCTGTTGCGGTGAGAATTAAGATTTAAGTTTATCAATAGTTTGACATCCGATTCTCACTGCAACAGGAAATAATTTAAAATGTGAAGTATTTTGAATTTTTTTTTAAAAACTGGGTTATTCTGGTAAAAAATTCTTTTACCTATGAGTTTAATTAAAATATTATACATCTTTGTCAATCTCTTAATTTATTCTATCAAAATTATTATGATTTTTTTAATTATCATTTATCTTTTATTATATTTTAATATTTATGATGTAATTGAATGTTAAATCAAAAAGAAATCAAAAAATAAAAACAAATAGAAGATATCAAAGATCAAAAATGAATTTAAATTCTTTAAATGACTAGAGTATTAAGTGAAAAAATTCAATGATTTTTATTTTAATCACGTTAAAAATATAATTATTATTTTTTATAATATGCAAACTGTTATATTGTTGTTATTTTCTTTTATAAGAAGCACAACCAATATAAAAAAAACATAGTAATATGCAAACTGTTATATTGGTTTTATTTTCTTTATTAATATTATAATTTTATTTTAGAAAATTAAATGTATTTGTATTAAATAATATTTATTCCGAAAGAGTTATTTAGTAAGAGAAAAGGAAATGCATATTCGTCTAATAAAAATGATGTATTTGGTTTTTTTTTAATTTTTAAATATTATAATATTAGAATATATGAATATATGGATTTTTTTTAGTTGGATGAATTTTATACAGGGTATATCAATTAATTTTTCTTTACAATCCATTAAATTTATTATAAAAATGGATTAAAAAAAGTTAGAGTCCCAAGGATAAAGGAAATTTAAAATGCCATTTTTTTTATCTACCATCAAATTCGATTTATTGAACCTACTCATTCTATTTAGAGATTAGTTATGACATCAAATGATTTCAATTCTCTCTCAATCGTAGTTGTAAGAGAATGGTAGGGATGACAAATCCGTCACGGATATGAGGCGGATAGTTTAATGGATATCCACAAAAAAATAAATAGATATTTAAATAACCGTTTGTTAATGGATATGGATACGAGTTTAATAATATCCGTGTCCGCAGATATCTTTTCATTTTCTTAAAACAATTGTCTTTATATATATATATATATATATATATATATATATATATATATATATATATATATATATATATATATATATATATATATATATATATATATATATATATATATATATATATATATATATATATATATATATATATATTTCGAAGTAAATCTTTCACATTTCATCCAAATTCTATTAACCATTTTATATCTAAATTCTTCAATAGTTCATATCTCAATTCAACAATTTCACAGTGCAACCAATTAGTGTCGTCATTCCTATGTTGAACCAGTGTTTTCCTTCCTATTTCCATGTCGTCTGCTCTTCTATCATAACTCACAAACACAATATCTTTTATTTTTTCGGTTAAAAATGAAATGTATGAATATTATGCTTGAATCTAATTATGTTTTGGTAAATAATAACAAAATTAACGTGATGAAATTTTATTGTTAAATTAAGAACGAATTGTATGATTGTTATGTGATAATAATTTTGTGTCTTTAAAATAAATTAAAAATATTTTTTTAAAAAAATAATTTTTATAAAAAGATATTATTCATGGATATCCATAAATATTCGTGGATATCGTAAAATTCACATATTATTCGTTTAACGAATACCCGCATGAATATGGGTTGGATATGAATATAATATTTATTCAACGGGACATATACAAATATTATAGTATCCGTCTTCATAAATATCTATTTATATCTCTAGATATTAGACTGTAATTCTCCTTATCAAATACAATGTTAATCATTATTAAATCATTTAACAATTCATTTGAAATGTCACGTTTTTGATTAATATCAATTTAAAAGTAATTAATGTAAGGTTCGAAATGCCACGTTTTTATTAATATCAATTTAAAAGTAATTAATGTAAGGTTCGAAATGCCATGTTTTTGTTAAATGCTGATTTAAAACTAATTAATGTACATTAGTTTATTATTTGGCCCAACCTACTTTTTCTTCCTCAATAAACATATGTTTTGGGATATTAACTAAACTTCTGTTGGGCCAAAAAGAAAAACAGAAAATATAGTGAATTACAGTCTAGCAAAATGTGTGCATGTTGGTAATCCAAGAAAAAGATATGGGAAATCAGTTAAATGTGTATGGGCAAACACATCGGTTGAAAAAGGAAGAGTCAATTATAGAATGAGATATAATAGGAAATAGTGTTATTTAATTTAATATTGGGAATTAAAATAAAAATTGATATTACAAACTCCAAAAATGTGTTATGTTATCACCGTCCATAAAACTATTTCATTTCGAAACTGAGATTGGGTAATAATAGCTTAAATACTCCATCATCTCTCTCAGACACAGGAACACATAGAGACATTCAAAACCCTCTCCTTCTGTTTCAGGTGATTATTTCTTTCTTTCGTTTCTTTTTTTTTTTTGTTAGATAGATCTAATAGTTAATCATCCGAGGTGATTTTGATTTCTAAAAAGGAAAATTGATCAAATAAAATAGTCTGCAAAATTCTAATTAAATTGCCAAAATTCGATATTATTATGTTGAACTTTAGTATAAGCATTGAAACATTAATTTTTACCGTTGTGTGTGAATTTTTTTAGTAGTTATGATGTCTATTTGTTGGAAAAATGTGGATTATTGTGATGTGTTTTTGATAATTTGTTGTCTTTCAAATAAAATATTGTTTCGTTAATAACTCATGAGGGAGCTTTGTTGAAAAATCATCACGATTAAAGTAGCTCTATCTAATAGCATGCCGGCGACTAATTTTCTCGGAATTTATAAAATTTCATTATATGATATCTTATTTCATTATATAATAAGGGTATGTATATGGCCAAGTAGTTAAATTATAAAATTCTTTTTTATTGTGGTTGTCAAGTTTTCTAATATAAAATTGAGCTACTTTTATTCCACTATAGTGTAGAAAAACTAAACTGTAGAATATATATTTAACATTTTGTGTTTGTCTTGATATCCACATTTTAATCGTATAAATTTGGCATGCTTTTAATTTCTTTTAAGTATTACGACAAATGAACTGACAGATCATCTAAACTTTTTTATAAGCTTATTAAATTAAAAAGTATAAATTATGAAAGATAAAAAAAATCATTTAATTTTAGTCAATTTAAATAAATATAAATAATTTTGTTATTATTATTTTATATTTTAAATTAAATTACAATAATAAAATCTAGTTAACTTGAAGAGTCAATAAAAATAAACTGACAAAATTTCATGATCAATATTATAAATAGTTTTTCTTAGCTCTATTAAATAAATAGTCTCATCAAATTTATATTATTAAATAAATTTGAAAAAGTCAATATAAACAAACATTCAATTATATTATTATTATTATTTTAATTTATTAATTTATTTAAACATTAATTATATATATATATATATATATATATATATATATATATATATATATATATATATATATATATATATATATATATATATATATATATATATATATATATATATATATATATATATATATATATATATATATATATATATATAGATTAATAGACAACCCTACAAACTCTGATTTAAAAATAAATCTATTACAAATTACAAATCAAATATAATAGTAAATCTATTATTACAAGTTACAAGTCAAACTTATCCATTAAAGTTTCACAAAATCTAACTTGATCTAGCATATTTCTAACATATATGTGAATTTTTTTATCTGACTAATTATATAAGGTGTCACGGATGCTAAATACAACGGAAGTTAGATCTATATAATCTATTTCGGAAAAAGATTAGTTTGTTGTTGTTGATTACTTATTTAAGTTGTCCTAAACCCGATATTTAATTATATTAGTTGGGCTGTTTGCGTTGTTTCAATTATAGCCATTAATCATTATTGACACATCCAAAAGAAACCACATGTTATCCATGTAATTATCTACCTATATGAGAGTTATTTCTTTGTGAACACTCTTTTGTTTGATACTTATTCACAACCTAGTTATTTAATGCTGCAACAAATTTTCATATTTAAAATCTATATAAGACTGATATCTCTAAAAAAATGTGTTTGTATTTGTTTCAGTATGAAATATATGCACTGATATTTATAATTATGTCTAATTTATTTAATTTTTAAAATTATTATCGGTGTCGTTGTGTCAGTGTCAGAGTTGTTTTTGTCGTGTCCATGTTTCATAGTTCAGAACTGAACTCACAAAATTTTCTTTGCATTCACAGGTAATTACGTGAAAATGGGAGCAGGTGGGAGAACCTCCCTTCCACCCTCGCAAACAAAACTAGAACAAGATCAACATTTGAAGCGTGCCCCAATTACCAAACCACCATTCACTCTCAGCGAAGTTAAGAAAGCAATTCCACCACATTGTTTCAATCGTTCCTTAATTCGATCATTTTCCTATGTCATTTTCGACCTCACCATAGTCTCGATCCTCGCCTACCTAGCCATAAACTACATTCCCACCCTTTTCGGTAACCACTATCTTTGGACTTGGCCCATTTACTGGGTCGTCCAAGGATGTGTCCTTACTGGAGTTTGGGTCATTGCACATGAATGCGGCCACCACGCATTCAGTGAATACCAATGGGTTGATGACTTAGTTGGCCTCATCCTTCATTCAAGTCTCTTGGTACCATATTTCTCATGGAAGTATAGTCACCGTCGCCACCACTCGAACACTGGGTCCCTTGAACGCGATGAGGTTTTCGTCCCTAAGAAAAAATCTCAAATTAGTTGGTACTATAAATACCTTGACAACCCACTAGGAAGATTCCTCACACTCGCTGTAACACTCACTCTTGGCTGGCCGCTTTACCTAGCCTTCAACGTTTCAGGCCGATACTACGACAGGTTCGCTTCACATTATGACCCGTACGGACCCATTTACTCCGATCGCGAAAGACTTCAAATCTATATTTCAGACGCAGGCGTTCTTGTGGTATCTTACGGGCTTTACCGTCTTATTTTGGCACAAGGTTTGAATTGGGTTATTCGAGTTTATGGAGTTCCACTTCTTATAGTAAATGGATTTTTAGTTATGATCACTTACTTACAACACACTCATCCTGCATTGCCTCATTATGATTCAAGTGAATGGGATTGGATGAGAGGTGCTTTGGCAACTGTGGACCGAGATTATGGAATTCTTAACAAAGTTTTTCATAACATAACTGATACTCATGTTGTTCATCATATGTTTTCAACTATGCCACATTATCATGCTATGGAAGCTACAAAAGCTGTGAAACCTATTTTGGGTGAGTATTATCATTTTGATGGGACTCCAGTTTATAAGGCTATGTGGAGAGAGGCTAAGGAGTGTCTTTATGTTGATCCAGATGAAGGGAGTGAGGTTAAAGGTGTTTATTGGTATAGAAACAAGCTTGAGTAATATAAGATTAATGGTTAGTTTGAGGTATTATGTAGTTTACTAGTTGTTGGTTTTGATGTTTTGGTTCCTTTGTTGTTGTGTCTTGTTAAGTCTATGTTGGTAGTTAAGTGTGTTTGGAATAATTGATATGGTTATCCATGGAAATAATAATGGTAATTAATAATAAAATGATATATAGTGCATAGTTCTTTGTTGAGTAATAAAGTTGAAGTCTTGTTGTAGTGACAACTTTTAGCATTGATAGTTTCAATTCATTGTCTTTAAAATTTTAATTTTGATATTGATATTAAGAATAGTTACTCATTTGATTATTGTACTAAATTTGTTCAAATATATAATTTTCATGATATTGGAAGCCCGTAAAATGTATGGTTAGTTTTACACTAATATTCATGAATCTTGAAGCCTGGGAAAGTTTAACAATGTTTTGGGCTTAGAACCTTAAACACAAATAAGATCACAAATGAGACCACAAAACCTGTCACTGAAATCTAGATCACATATTAAATGTATGTGTTAAACAAGTTCAGATGTAATCATAACAAAAATAAATACACTACTTACGTGGCCTCAACTAGCCTCAAGAGTTCTCCTTTAAGCACGGGCAGCAGATAAGAATGCGATATCCAAAAATATCGCCTCATATATCTTGCCTTAGTTTCCCAATTATGAAGAATATGACTTTCTTGGTCCTCTATAGTTAAAGTGCCATCCATATACTCGTCATAGTTATGGTTAATATATTGCTGATTTATCAAAGGTCACATATACAAGTGAAGTATGTGCGTGTGAGCCTATGTGAAGACGTGCAATGACTTTTTTCTAGGTTCTAGTAGGTCTTTGGACGACGATCCTAATGCAAGGGGGTTATGATGATTAACTCATTTTAGAATATGGAGATCTAGTATAAATAATGTTTAAAGTAACAAAAAAATTGAAGGGCTCCTCTAGAAGGTTGCAAAAAGAGTTAGAAACCATGATGAAGACGAAAAACAAAGTAAAAAAATGATAAAGAAGACAATTAAGACCTATAAAATAAGAAGTTCATGATATCATGTAGAAATTTTTTATAAATTTATTTCAAAGGTGTGTCAAATGTACATGTGAGTGCACTCCCCTCGTCTAATTTTAGGAGTTATTTAATATTTTAGTGATATCAATAGGTTCCTAGTTAGTTTTGTTGTAAGTATTTATCTAACTAAGTTTCTCACATTAATATATTTTTGAAAAATTATTTCATGCATGAGAAAATGAATCTTGTCAAATTTTATTTATGTGATGAATAAAAGTTCTTCATTATTTAACATGGAGGTTTACAATAGTATTTATTGATTTGTTATTCTTGCATGATAGTTATGGTAGAGCAACTCTATACAATTAGAATTTCTTAACTACCATAATCAACTACTAATAACTTCTAACTGATTTTGTGTAAACTAACTACTTCTAACTATTTTTAGGATTGTTTGAGGAACAAATTAGTATTTTCTAACTTGTTCATGGTGTAATATTCTCCCAGGATAGATGTTAATCATGCCTAACTTGGAAAGTAGAATGTGAAATAGTTGGGGTAGAAGAGACTTGGTGAAAACATTAGCCAATTAGTCTTTGGAGGAAATCAGAAGCAATTTGAACACTTTAGCTTGTAATTTCTCGAGAACAATGTGGCAATCAATCTCCAAGTGTTTGGTACGCTCATGGAAAACGGGATTTACAAGAATGTGTAATGCACTCAAGTTGTCACAATACAAAGTTAGAAGTTTTGAAGTGATCATTCGAAGATCTTGAAGAAGATATATCAACCATTGCATTTCGCAAGCGGTTGTTTCAAAAACACGATATTCAGCCTTAGATGAGAAGCGTGAGACTATGCTTTGTTTCTTTGATCACCATGAAATAAGAGATTTGACAATAAATAAGCATTGGTCTGATATGGAGCGGTGTGTGTCTACACAACCTGCCTAATCAGCATCCAAAAATCTAATCAATTATAAGTGAAAATCTTTAGGAAAGAATAATTCATGAGCATGGCATCCCTTTAAGTATTTGTAGAGTCTTAAGTCAGATTTATGATGAGTGATTGTGGGATTGGTGAGGTATTGGCTCAGTTTTTGTTTGATGAAGGTGATATCTGATATGTTAGCTATGAGGTAAAGTAACCATCTAACTAAGCGTCTGTATGGAGAGATATTAATGTATGCAGGACTTGACTCATGGTGGAGTTTAATAGTTGGATCAGCGGAAGTGGATACTGGCTTATATCCAAGAAATCACGTGTCTGTTAAGAGATCCAAGAAATATTTGTGTTAGCATTGTGTGATTCCTTTTGAGGAGTGTGCAACTCCGAGTCTAAGAAAGTATTTAAGGTGGCCAAGGTTTTGGATTTGAAATGCTTTGTGGAGAACTCATTTGATGTGATCAAATTCAGTCATGGAGTTGCTTGCAAGGATGAAATTGTGGCATAAACTAATAGAAGAGTGAAATTGTTATCAATTTTCTTGGTGAGTAAGGAGTGATCTGAGTAGGTTTGTTTGTAGTGTTAAGCAAAGAGATGAGATGTGAGCTTTTCATGCCATTTACGACTTTCCTACTTGAGACCTGTAGCATTCCAAAACTTGCCTCATTGTTTTTTGATCTACTGGCTTGTGTTTCTCTTCATTTTGCATTTCTGTATATCATGACATTAGTTCTCGAGACATGGGATCAAGGTGTTTTTATGGCTTGAGGTTCTCTTTTTATTACAAGAGTTTAAACAACGAGCGTTAGAGGCTTTGACATGTATTTTGCCCAGCAATCAAGTGGCTTATTTTATTCAGCAGGTTATTTTTAGCACAGGAGACATGTCACAGGTTATCTCAGACATTTTCACAATTATAATATCCCAAGGCAAGTTTCAGAGACTTAACGGGGCTCAGAACAGGTGAAAACAGACTAATATGCAAGTTTCCCTCCAAATGGCGCATTTTTCAAAATTTGTGAGTGGTTAACCGACTAACCGATTTGTACTAGCAAATGATTAATCGATTAACCAAAGGAAAATCTGCACAGATACGTGCATTTTCAATGCTGCCACTTTTGGGGTCCATTTTGATCACTTATGAATTGATTTTTACACCAGAAGAAGGATCTAGAATCACTCTAAATTTTGATTAACTTTCAAAACCAGTCCAATTTCCCTCCAATTTTCCATTCCAATTTTCAAAACCTCACTCCAAACCATAATTCTACTCTTAATCAAGAGCTTATTTAAGTGAATTTGCTCCAAACCTCAAGGAAGAACCCTCATAATTTCATATTTCACACTCATTCATTCTCATTCTTCAAAATTTGCTCTCAAATTCTCTCAACATTTCTACACTCCAAAACTCCATTAGAGCTCTTTCGCTTGAATTCTTTGATTCTTCATTGGAATCATTGAATTCTAGAGCTAAACCTCCATCATCTTCAATTCTTCATTTGGTTTTCGTTTGGATTTGGATATGATTTTGGAAGCAAAGCTTTTAAGTGATTCTTGGATCAATTTTGGCTTATTTTGGCTTGTTTTTCACTTCTCTTGCAAGAAATCTCTTGGATCTTGAAGTTTACTAGGGTTTCTAGCTTGGATCTATCAATTTGCAGTAAATCAACAATTACCAAAGCAAATCTCAGCTTTGAAGGTTGGTTAATTCTAGATTCATTTCTGTTTTGAGCTTATTTGGATAATCACAATGTAGATCTTCAATTTTAATTAATTTTGGTGATTTTGATCTTTGTGATTTGTGATCTCAATGCTTTATTAAATTTGATTGATGTTTGATCACTGATTACATGATCATTTGGATGATTGCATATTGAATTAATTGCTGAAAGTGCTTTTGAATTGCTATTTTTCTGCTTCTAGTGCAGTGTTAATCGATTAATTAGTTGCAGTACAAATCTGGTTAATCAATTAACCAATGTAAATTCATCCATTTTTGAGTGGTTAATCGATTAACTAAATTTGCACTGCAAATGGTTAATCGATTAACACTGGACCAGAATGTGATTTTTGATTGTTTTCAAGCATGTTTTGATTTCTTGCCATGTTTAACCTTCATGGATTGATATGATGCATTTGTGTGGACTGTTTTTGACCTGTTTCATCATGCTTGATTATTTGATTGTGATTCTTCGACGCGTGACTTTTGGTTTTTGTTTGAATGCTTAACATGTTCGTGTTTCTTGATTGATATGATGATCATATGCTTTGCTTGCTTGTGTCATGTTAATGATTAATTGTTGATGATTATCTTGCTGGACTTGTGATGCATGTTTGTATTCGCTTCCGATTCCGTTTGTTGCATGATCGTTTATTTACTTGAATTGATATGAAAAGCATGTTATTCTTGATGATTCTTAATGAGGCAATATTGTTGAACATTTGTGTTTGTTTGTTGATGCATGTCCATCCTTGCTTGATAGTTGTTCATGATTGATGTTTGCTCATGTAGATTGCATTGAAACATGCTTGCTCCCCTGCTTTCTACATTTGTGTTATTCTGAATTTACATGCTGTCTATGTTATGCTTCTTGTTGCCTGCCTTTTACACCTACTTTTGTGCTGAATTATTAGCTGTTAAATGTTGTTGTGCTGCCTTGCTGGAATTTATTGCTGTTTTATGCATGAAGCATTGTTGTAGCTGATGTTTTTTCCTTATTTTCTTGCTTTTTTCTTGCTTTTGCATGCTCCCTTGGGATTCCTAGTACAACTTAATTTCCGATTAAGCTTGGAGTATGATAGACATTAGGAGTGTAATCCATGCATGATAACAAGTAGGCTAGTCCCTTTTAACCACAACCTTAGGTCCTTCTTTTGCATGCTAACTTTAGGATAGAATTTCCTTTCGCATCCCGACCTTAGGGCCACTTTGCATGACAACGTTATGACCGAGTTTCCCTTAGACCTTATGTGCATCTTTCTCTCTTCTCATCTCAAAACAATTCAAATACTTAATAAAAATGATGAACATTGCGTGTCACGA